AAAAAAAAAAAAAATCATACTTCACCTCTGCCCTGGATCACAGCACGGCAAAAGCAGGAATAACCTCTCCTTTATTTTTTAAGGTGTGATTGCCTCGACAGGGGTGGATGACAATAGGAGGAAAGGTGAGAGGTAAATTAGTTTTAGTTAACGAGAAGGATAAAGTAAACTCTAGTCACTTATAATCCTTCTTCTAGTCTCAGCCCTGACACTACCTCCTCTGTGAAGTCTTCCTCAGCAAGCATTAAGTCTGCCTTCTCTGCTCGCTCTCCTTGCACTGAGTACTATTGATCGCCCTAGTTTCTCCGCTGTCATCTCACGGTCTCCCCAGCGGACTGTGAGCTCCACGAGGAAAGGACAGCGCCCTTTAGTATTTGCCTTCTCAGCGTTGCGCCTGGGCAGCAACGCCTGCAAGATGGATGGATGGTGTAGCATTTCTCTTGGAGCGCCTGGGATTCGCCCAAAACTTCTGACTCCAGCACGGATCGCACCGTCACGCCCACAAGACACCACGAGAAACGCCTCTTTTGCAGCAGTTTAAGGTACGTTAGGGGTCACCGTGTTGCATTGTGGGAAGTATAGGGCGGCAAGCGGAAGAGGCGGGGCGAGTGGACCATCCGCTTCCGGAGTCAAGGTTTTCGGGCTTTGGACGGCTAGGCGGTGCGGCCTGCAGTTTGTTTCTGTCTGTCTTCTGCCTTGCTAAGGCCGTAGAGCTGGTGCGTGCGGGTAGCGGGGCGCTCCGAGGAGCCGTATGCCGGCGGCGCCATGGTCCACCTCAGTAAGTCATCGGGTCCCCGCGAGACGTACCGGGCGGTCACGGGGCTCGGGAGTTCGGGGCCGGGTGGGGCGGTGCTCTCCCAGGCGCGATGGAGGCAACCCGAACCTGAATCAGCCACACTGCCTTACATTTGATCCTCCTCTCAGTTTTTTCCCCACTTAATCACTGGTGAAAAATTTCCACCCCACTGAAGCAGCTAAGGTTCGCACAAGGTCACAGAGCCTAGTGAATGGGAAGCCCATGCCGAGTGGGTTTGGGTATGAGGAGGAGGTCATTGCTGGCTGGAGTGGCCAAGAGGGGTTTCACAAAGAAGAATAGCATCTAAACTGAATTGACAGGAATAGATTGGAAGTGAGACATTTCAGTGGAAAAAGGAAACTGTGCTGTCTGTGTCATTTTGCCCTTTCTGTGCTGTTTTTTTTTTTTGTGTGTGTCCTAACCACCTGCTTTTCTACAGGTCCTCTCCTCTACAAGTCCTACCGTGGGGGCCACTTAACCATCCGCCTTGCCCTGGGTGGCTGCACCAACCGGCCCTTCTACCGCATTGTGGTTGCTCACAACAAGTGTCCCAGGGATGGCCGTTTCGTAGAGCAGCTGGGATCCTATGATCCATTGCCCAACAGTCATGGAGAAAAAATCGTTGCCCTCAACCTAGACAGGATCTGTCATTGGATTGGCTGCGGGGCCCACCTCACTAAGCCTATGGAAAAGCTTCTGGGTAACTCAGTTCTGGTCATATCTTATTGAGGGGATTTTAAACTGAAGTCAGCTCCAGGACAGTGGGTATAAGAATGATTTTTGGCGGGGCATGGTGGCTCATGCGTGTAATCTCAGCATTTTGGGAGGCCGAGGCGGGTGGATCACTTAAGGTCAAGAGTTCGAGACCAGCCTGGCCAACGTGGTGAAACCTCGTCTCTACTAAAAAAAAAAAAATTAGCTGGGCGTGGTGGCACACGCCTGTAGTCCCAGCTATTGGGGAGGCTGAGGCAGGAGAATCACTTGAACCCAGTAGTCGGAGGTTGCAGTGAGCCAAGAGCGCATCACTGCTCTCCAGTCTGGGCAACAGAGGGAGATTCCATCTCAAAGAAAAAAAAAGAATTATTTTCATTCCCTCTACACTGCTCAGGACTGAAGTGGGAGCTGAAGTTGTGATCTAATTGGCATTTTGAATCTGGAGGCCCCTTTTGTGGACTCCTTTGTAAGACTTTTTGGGTGACTGGTATTTTATGCTAAAAATGGGAATGGTATGTTTTGAATGGTCATCTGTCAGTTTATCTTTTTTAAAGTAAGGGGAATATTATTAGGAAGTAGACATCTACTGTCTCCTTGCTGGGGAGAAGCAGTAGAGTTTGGCAAGTGAGGAGCATGGTTTGCATCCATGCACTGGGTCAGATCTCAGACCTCAGTTCTGTGAGACAGAGTTCCTAGGGAAGCATTGGCTTATACGGTGTTATAATAAGTGAAAAATCTGTTGCTTTTAGGTCTTGCTGGCTTTTTCCCTCTGCATCCTATGATGATCACAAATGCTGAGAGACTGCGAAGGAAACGGGCATGTGAAGTCCTCTTAGCTTCTCAGAAAACAGATGCAGAAGCTACAGATACAGAGGCTACAGAAACATAAGTGAGCTGACTTTAGTGAGCATAGCAGTGGGAACAGAGTCAAGGTTCTCTTGAAACACTCTGCAGAGATCTTAATTTTGTTAGATTTGGAGTTCAATAAATGGAGTATCCTGAGTTGTCCTTGCTCTTCTGGCCTGACCTGCATAGGGCCCATGGAGAGATTTATTCTTGTGTGACTTAGCGCTGGATGTGGGTACTAATTAGCTTTTTTGGACTTTGTCTTGGGATAGACAGTGACTGTGGGAGGATTGGACTTTTGAGTGGGGCTCTGGGTCTCTTGGACAACTTTACAATCTACTGGCTTCCAAGACATCCTGCTTCAAAACCCCCAGCCAGACTATTCACGGCCTGTTCAAATCTTCATGTTCATCTCGCAAGTGTAAGAACAGTTACCTTTCTTACTGATTTTGTAATTGGAGATTCATATTGTCTTGCTTAATGCATATTCTTTTTTTTTTTTTTTTTTGAGATGGAGTCTCGCTTTGTTGCCAGGCTGGAGTGCGGTGGTGCAATTTCAGCTTACGGTAATCTCCGCCTCCTGGGTTCAAGCGATTCTCCTGCCTCACCTTTCCGAGTTGCTGGGGAGCTACAGGTGTGTGCCACCACACCCAGCTAACTTTTTTATTTTTAGTAGAGATGCGGTTTCACCATGTTGGCCAGAATGGTCTTGATCTCCTGATCTTGTGATCCGCCCACCTTGGCCTCCCAAAGTGCTGGGATTACTGGCGTGAGCCAGCACTCCCGGCCTTAATGCATATTCTTAAATACACAAATGTAAATTTGTTATGAAAATTGCTTTTGGGGTTTAATAACCTACCTTTTAAGAATGAGAAACTGCTGGGCTTAAGGGAGTTCAGAATGAATCAAGATTGAACCATTCAAATGTGGCTGTGATTTCTGCATATATCATAGATGGGATCCTTCTGAGAATACTGGAATAGGGAATTAGGACACCAAGCCAATTCAGCTGTGAACCTTATTCTTGTACTTTTCTTTCTTGCTGGTAATTTTATGGAGACGGTTAAGAAACCTGCTCTGTGTTAAGATAAACTGTATACCAATAATTTTGACAACCTGTGATGAGTGATGCATTTTACTTCCTGTATCTTTTCCTTCCTACCTTGATGCCAGTAATTTATAAGGGATCTTACAGTTTGAATGTATTTGAATAACTTCAGTATACTTTAGCTCTACTTTTTTATTTGACTCACAACTATCCATAGGTCTCAAGCATTCCCATGTGTTTTAAAAGCCTGAAGTCAGTGAGATGAAATTCAACATCAAGAATTTGAAGTAACTTGTGAGGAAATAATATAAAGATACCATTGGGGCAATGGCTCACACCTGTGATCTCAGCACTTTGGGAGGCTGAGGTGGAAGGATCACTTGAGACCAGTTTGAGACCAGCCTGGACAACACAGCAAGACCTCATCTCTACAAAAAATTTAAAAATTAGCTGGGTGTGGTGGTGCTCACACATAGTTCCAGCTACTCAGGAAGCTGAGGCAGTAAGATCACCTGAGCCCAGGAGGCCGATACTTAACAGTGATTGTTCCGCTACAGTCCAGCCTGGGTGACAGCGTAAGACCCTGTCTCAAAAAGAAAAGAAAACATTACATAATTTGGCTATAGCATAATAATTAATTTGATTTTCTGGTTTTTTGAAAATTTTAGTTGCAATAAAAGAGTATTTCAATGTGCTATTTCAATTTTCAGTAGCAAATGTGTATATAGAAAAATGTTAAAATTGATGTATTTGAGTACCTTAAAAAATATGAGAAACTGGAAGAAAGATAATATCGTAAAGCACCTACATATGTCCTAGGCCTTTTATGTACAGGATTATTCGTGACGATTGTAAGGCATGAAGGCAGGTAGGATTATCTCTGTTTTACAGATAGGGAAGCTGAGGCCTAGAGGTGGAAACTTGCCCAGTGATGTAAGATTTATACCCCAGTTGTGCCCTCCTGGAAAGCCCTTCCCAACATATTATGTTGTCCATAGAGGGGAAAAAAATGAGCAAAGACAGATGTCTTAACTCTGTTATGTGACTAAGATATAGGAAATTTATAGAGGAGGTTCTATCAATGTGCCCACTTATTTTGTGTTTTATGTTCTGAGAACGATTACCAGCCATCTTAAATTCTGTGGTTGGCAAACCCCCCCCCCGGGGTTGTTGCTGGTTGGCCCCTGCTTGCTTTGAGACTTTGATGCCAGGGCAGGTTGAGAGGAACTGACTTCAGCTGAGTTTGATCTTGGATGTGGGAAAGAGAAATGCTTTGAAAATCATGGCAACCCTGGGAGGTTTAAAAGATACTAATGTATCCTGGAGAGTTTGAGGCTTTGCAGAAACTTATTGGCAGAGCAGAATGATTCTGAAAAATGCTAAATCAGTCGGGATAAGATTTGATAAGGTATTTTTCTGCCAACTCGGGTATTCACTTAGTATTGTTTATCCTTTGTCTAATACATGTATACGCATACTTCCTTTGTGAGCTGCTCCTACTTCCTGTTTATCCTTTGTCTAATACATGTATACGCATACTTCCTTTGTGAGCTGCTCCTACTTCCAAAGTTTTATCCCCAGCTTCATCCTTGCTTTGGGTCTCCAGGCCCAAGTTTCTCACCATCTCTTGGATGATTGCTCCAGCCTACCCTGGTGCCACCTGGGATCCAACATGTTCAAACCCAGCTGTGAACTTCACAGATTATTAAAAGAAAGCGCCTTTGCTTCAGCAGTTTGTTAAGACGGGGGCTTGGGTCATGTTACCTCCACCAATGTGTAAGGTGAAAGTCCTGTTAGGTAAGAGTTTTTGTGTTTTGTGCTTTTTGGGTTTCAGTATAGAGTTTTTCCTGCAGGGCTAGAGGGAAAGTACCCCAGCATTTCCAACCAGTGGGGTGCAAAATTATTTGGGCCTACAGCTTTACCTGTTCCTTTCAGGAACATTTTTGAAAAAAAATCTGTTGAACCATGTGAAATTGCTGAATGCTGATGTTTGGCCATTTTCTACTTAAAAAATAGGCCAGCAGTTTGTAAATTCAAGCTAATATATGAACTTTTTGAAAAAGCTGTTCTGGGACACTAAAAGGTAAGACGGACGCCAGATTTCCAGAGCAAGGGGAGGAGAGAACCAAGCAACATCACTTCCTTGAAGACCTGGCTTCTGCGCGCGGCCGGCCTAGGACTCCGACTCCACGCGCCAGTGTTATTTACTCGGGCCCGCGCCCGCCTCGTCACGGCTCGTTTTGCGGCCGCCGTAAAGCGCGGATGCGCGCCGGCGGGGAGGGGTGGTCACGCCCCTTCAGTGCTTGTGACGCAGGCGCCCTGGGCATTTTGGGCGGGAAAAAGAAGCAGTCCTGGGTTGTACCCGGCACGGTTGGCAGCAGCTGCTTCCTCTGAGGTCGTATCCCTGCCCGGCATGGGGCTGCTGGAGCTTTGCGAGGAAGTGTTCGGCACCGCCGACCTTTACCGGGTGCTGGGTGTGCGACGCGAGGCTTCCGACGGCGAGGTCCGACGAGGCTACCACAAGGTGTCCCTGCAGGTACACCCGGACCGGGTGGGCGAGGGCGACAAAGAGGACGCCACCCGTCGCTTCCAGGTATGCAGGGTCACGCCCCGAGGCCGACGGGCCGCCAGGATGTCCCCAGCCTTTTGGCCGCCGGGCCCCGTCCCGGGGGAGCGCGCTGAGCTCCGCTTGGCGCCGCCTTCTGATCTTTATTTCTCGCGCCGCGGTTTCGGTGGGAGGAGCAGGGGCGATTTACGGATACTCTCTGCCCTCAGATCCTGGGAAAAGTCTATTCCGTTCTCAGTGACAGAGAACAGAGAGCAGTGTACGATGAGCAGGGAACAGTGGACGAGGACTCTCCTGTGCTCACCCAAGACCGAGACTGGGAGGCGTATTGGCGGCTACTCTTTAAAAAGGTAAAGGACTCTGGAGATTTCTTCATGGCTATTACCATCCATCAACAAACCTTTATTGACTGCCTCTAAGATCTTGTATTTTGTGTTAATTTTGTAGGAATTAGAATTTTTGAGTTTGGCCTTGAAATATAAATACACGCACACTTACTGAAACAGGCTTTAAATTTCCTGTTAATGTGATTGTTGCACTGAAAAGGGCAGATTTATTTTTTTTGCAGGATGTTCTTTATTTTACGTATCCAAATGTAAGTCCTGATTCTGGATCTCCTTTCACCGTTGGAAACTTCTCTGGTCCCTAGTTAGCAGATATGAAGATTGGATTTAAAAAGGAGGACTCCGGAAAAGCTTAAGCATAGAAAATTTGGTTCAATAATTTCAACTCAAGCAACTGTTGCATTGCAGCAATTCAACACCTAACTCTAGTTTTACTAATGTATCTTTTATTTAAAGTAAAATCCTCAAAGTTAAAGCAAATCTCCTTTGTTATCAGATATCTTTAGAGGATATTCAAGCTTTTGAAAAGACATACAAAGGTTCGGAAGAAGAGCTGGCCGATATTAAACAGGCCTATCTGGACTTCAAGGGTGACATGGATCAGATCATGGAGTCTGTGCTTTGCGTGCAGTACACAGAGGAACCTAGGATAAGGAGTATCATTCAGCAGGCTATTGACGCCGGAGAGATCCCATCCTATAATGCCTTTGTCAAAGAATCGAAACAAAAGATGAATGCAAGGAAAAGAAGGGTAAGATTTTGAATACTGTTGATTTATATTTTGACTGCTTCCAAAAAGGATTTGAGGGTATTTACAGCAGTGGAAGTAAATATAAAACTCCAGAAGTAAGGACTAGGGTTAACTTGATCTACAGTTCTGATCTAATAAAATGGGCATACCAGTTCATCAAGGAAACCTTTTTCTAGTATGTTGTGCTTAAGATGATTTTTATTGCATAGATTGTTTAAAATTACCATCGTAAAGTAGCGCTGAAATCTTTTTTCTTCTGGGCCAATTCTTATAGCATTGCTGAGGCATTTCTCAGGAGATAAAGTTAGTGGAACCCAGGTACACAGGATGGGCAGTGATCCTTACTCGGTTGAGGGGGTAAAAAGAGAATGACAGAGACTGTCTTGTTAAAAGTGCAGATTTTTGGGCCTTTGCCCAGAGTTTGATTCTTGAGTTGAACACAGAATTTCTTTTCTTTCTTTTTTTTAAAGAAAAACTTCAGCCGTCCCCAACCATTTTGGTACCAGGGACCTGTTTTGTGGAAGACAGTTTTTCCAGTGACAGTGGGGGTGAGGAGAGTTGGGGGGGTAGTTCAGGATGAAACCTTAGATCATCAGGCATTAGATTCTCTTAAGGAGCACACAACTTTTAGAACCGTTGCTGCCCTCATGAGTGCCCTCAGGAACTTTTCTGCAGCTTTTACATAGGAGATGCATGCGGAGAGAAAGCTGACGTTTTTGATTCCGGTGAAAATTCAAAGGGCCTGTTTTGCCTAAATAAGCGGCTGACCTTTCTGGTGAGCTGAGGGGAGCAGTGGAGTGTATATCAAGAGCATTTTGGTTCATAGGCTACACCTGCTAAGACTCAAGCTGACAGTCAAATCTTAAGTTGTTCATTTCCTGAGATGAAACAGCACAGCTGCATTCACAGTAGACTGTTAACTTGAGAAACTTCCCTAGAGTTTGAGGAGAAAAATGGCATAGTTTTGAGAGACTGTTCAACAAACCTTGGGGGATGCTGAATTTAAAGAGATAATTTGAATACAAGGAAATGGGTGTCTTATTGGGATGGGGATTCTAATGTATCATCATCCTCAGTATTAATAGCATTAATTGCTAGTTAGAAAATTTACAAGGGGTGTTGGGGCATCTTATAGTTGTTACCCTAAGGTGTGCTTGTGGTATTTTTTAAACAATGTTCTAGGAACACTTGGCAAAGGAAGGCTGTTTTGAAATCAGGTAAGTAAATGTTAAAACTGAGTTTATTGATGTTGTTTCTTCTGACTAACCAGAAGTCATTTTAAACTGGGGTTGTTCACAAGGCACCACCAGTCCCATGTAGTAAATTGGGTTTCCAGGGGAGGAATTGGAAGTACTTGTATCCTGGCAATTGCATCATTTTCTTTCTTTCTTTCTTTTTTTTTTTTTTTTCCTTCTTTTTTCTAAGAGATGGCATCTCACTCTATCATCCAGGCTGGAGTGCAGAGGCATGATCACAGCTCAGTGCAGCCTCGAACTCCCAGGCTGAAGCCATCTTCCCACCTCAGCCTCCCTAGTAGCTGGGACTACAAGCACATACCACCACACCAGGCTCATTTCTTTTATTTTTTGTAGAGATGAGGTCTCTCTGTGTTACCCAGGCAGGTCTCAAACACCTGAGTTCCAGTAATCCTCTCACCTTGGCCTCCCAAGGTATGGAGATTACAGGTGTGAGCCACCATATCTGGCCTCATGTTCCCTTTTATCACCATGTGATTTATGAGTGCCAAAGTACTTCCTACCTCTAGTAAGTAGAATTGGGGAAAAAACAAATGGTAATTGGAATCGGAGGATCTATGCTTGCTATCAGCATTGTTGCCTTTTAATGAATGACATAGTTATGTAATTCTGTTCATTTTGTCTATTCATATAATCCTCAAATTGAAACAGTATTATAGATTTGTTTTTGGGAAAGAGAATGTATTTTAAGCATTTTCTGGTGGCCCTGAGTCTCATGTGAGTTTCTGTTTCAGGCTCAGGAAGAGGCGAAAGAAGCAGAAATGAGCAGAAAGGAGTTGGGGCTTGATGAAGGCGTGGATAGCCTGAAGGCAGCCATTCAGGTAAACTTGGCAGTTTGTTGCCACATCTTTAATGATCTGATTCCTATTGCTAATATTTTCTTTGGAATGTTGTATTTTGTTTTCTTCTTTTAAGACATAAGTCGCATACCATCCGTTTGTCCTTTTAAAGTGTACAGTTTGGTGGTTTTTAATGTATTTACAAAGTTTTACAATTATTAACACCAATTGTAGGACATTTTCACCATTCCAAAAAAACTCCTACCCATTAGTAGTTACTCCACTTTTCCAGCCCCTGGGCAACCACTAAGTACTTTCTGTCTATGGATAATGTTGTGAAAGCTTGTGTTTTAACTTCTCAAACAGAGCAGACAAAAGGATCGGCAAAAGGAAATGGACAATTTTCTGGCTCAGATGGAAGCAAAGTACTGCAAATCTTCCAAAGGAGGAGGGAAAAAATCTCTCAAGAAAGAAAAGAAATAATGGAATTTTTCTCTTCAAAGGTCCTTAGGTGTAAATTGATGCCATCGTAGGCAAGGTGCAGGCAAGATTTGAAGGCAAAAGTCAACTCTTGAGAAAAGGTGTCTTTCCAGCCTGAATTTTTCAGATTGACTAGACCAAGCATCTTAGTATTTCCTAGAAAGCACTTGACATTGTGTGAGGTCTTACCAGAAGGAACTTGGTGGTGACGGTTGGGAGGGCGGAGGGAGGTAGTGTCCTTCCTGACAGCACTTGCCTCCATAGATCTTCGGTACACAGAACTCTTATCTAAGATGTGGTTCTGTTCATGCTGTTTTCTGCAGTGTGCGTGTCTGTTAGATTAGGCTCTCTACCCAGCTAGAACATCTTCCAAATACTTGCTGGACAGCTGTCTTCCACATACTTCCCAGTTTACATTTGGTCTTAATGATCTTGAATAGACCCTCTCTTCATTTTACTCAGCCAGGTTTTGTACTGATGTACGGGTGTTAAATTACTTCCAGCATTTTTGTAAGAGTTGTATATGATTAAATAAAAAAAGTAAAACATGATGATTAAGTTCTGGGGGCTTTGTAAATGATCCCAGTAAAAATGTGACCTAGAAGAAATGCGAATGGTGTTTAGGATGAGAGAAAAGTGGAAAACAATAGCCCCTGTCAGCTTTATAATAGAGAGCTTGGTTTCCCTAGCATAGAGAGATGTGTGTTGTAGTCCTGCCACTGATTGCTGAATGTCTTTCACTGAGCTTGTCTGAATCTGTCTCCTTTTATAAAAGTTATTACATCAAAACAAAGAGTGAAATACAAACTTGTCAAACTGTATGTATTAAATATGTCCAGTTTTCTGGTTTAAAAAAAATTGCACCAGCTTTGAGGGAAAACAAGGTGAGGGAATTGGGCTAAATGACTTCTTAGAGGCCCCTTTCTGACTCTTTAACTTTGAAAGGCAAGCCATATTGATCTAATTGTTTGTTTTGTTTTGTTTTTTTTGAGGCGGAGTCTGGCTCTCTTGCCCAGGTTGGAGTGCAGTGGCCAGATCTCAGCTCACTGCAAGCTCCGCCTCCTGGGTTCACGCCATTCTCCTGCCTCAGCCTCCCGAGTAGCTGGGA